GTATAATAGATCTACTGATCTATTCTAACCTTGCCTTGTTGGATGTTTTCTAACCAGTAGAATGGGGAAGAAATCAGTTCTGCCAATCACACTACCACCCCTCCCCCAGGTAACAAATCTCCTGAATTTCCCCATTAGGGGCTTTGAAGATGGCAGGAAAGATTGGGGGGGGGGGTCTGCTCTCTACCCGGAGTTTGGGGTCCCGGGAAATGCCTTCAGGAGCAGCCAACTTGAAATACTTCTTTGCATGTGCCTGTAAAGACTTTTAACACAAGCATGGTAACTCGAGCGATTTCGTGGCCTGTCACTGAGCCTCTGCATCCCTCTGGGCAGGTAATGGGAGCTGAGTCCGTTACATGGCGCTAGGGACCCGAACCGCTGAACTGCCGACCTTTCCGAGCGACAAGCTCAGCGTCTTAGCCACTGAGTTCGAATCGGCAGTTCGAATCCATAGCGCCACATAACGGAGTGAGCTCCCCGTTGCTTGTCCCAGCTTCTGCCAACCTAGCAGTTCGGAAGCAGGTAAAAAATGCAAGTAGAAAAATAGGAACCACCTTTGGTGGGAAGGGAAGAGCGTTCCGTGCGCCTTCGGTGTTGAGTCATGCCGGCCACATGGCCATGGAGACGTCTTTCTTTGGACAGCGCTGGCTCTTCGGCTGTGAAACGGAGATGAGCATCACCCCTTGGAGTCGAGAGAACAACTAACACATGTGCGAGGGGAATCTTTACTTTTATGGCCTATCAGCTTCTCGACTTGATGGATTCTGTGGGGTCCTTGTTCCTCTTTGAGCTTCGCAGTTTAGGCATTTCATGACCCAACTGGGTAACGTCATCAGCGCAAGAAGGGAGCGGGGTTTGTGGAGTGGAGGAGGAGAAGAGGAAGAGGAGCAGGACTGTGTGGTCCTCGGTGCTTTCTCAAATTTGGTGGTTTTCTTGCAGACGTCTCGTGACCTAACTAGGTAACATTATCAGTGCTAGAAGGGACGGGGGTTCTAGCACTGATGATGTTACCTAGTTGGGTTATGGGGGAAAAAAAAAACCCACCAAACTCGAAAGAGAGCACCAAGGACTCCCCAGCTCAACCCTGAAACTGCAAATATCCTTGGCCGTTGATCGATTCTCCCCTCTGTCCTCGTTCAGCTTCCGTCAGCTCCCCAGCCCACCTCCCCAAAGTGCCATTACGTAGCCGCAGCACAGACCGGTTGAAGGGAGCGGCTTCCTCCTCCGAACACGCCCCGTCGGAATCCGCACAGGTAAGCCTTTGAGTAAGACCCGGCTGCGGGTTTCAGCTTTGGGGATAGCACCAGTAGGAGACCCACGGATAACGGAGCCTCCCCTCCCAATTCTTTTGATAGGATGGCTTCAGTTACTCTCCACGCCCCCCACGCCCCCTGCTTTTGCGACGTAGCGTAGTGGTGAGAAATAAGGGTACAATTAAAGTATTTGAAGGGGTGTCTTGCTAGTAACATTTTTTGGCATTGACGTGGTGGCTCAAACGATGACCATCGCAGGGGTTTAAAAAGCCACATTCTACCTTTTTGGAAGCCAAGATTCGCCGACGATCCTCCCGTTTCTGACCAGCTTTTCTGTAATTCAGTGTATTTTTTTACAGATAGTCCAGAACTGGTATCTCCTCTTCGCCTCCCTATAAATGTGAATTAAAAGAGCTGGGCCCCGTTTTTCACCTTGTCAGATGAGAAGGAGATTTTTCCTACCCGGCAGAGTAGAATTTATTCTAGCTGAAACTCTGCAGTATCTCTCTCAAGAGAAAACCAATGATGTGACAGTATCTCTCTCTCTCTCTTCTTTTCCAAGAAACCTGAGCCAGCCAAGCAGCCCCCGTCTTCCACAGGGAGGAGAGCGCCTTCCCCGTCTCTGCCTGGCTCCAGGCGCTCCATCTCACCCGGGAACGTGGGGAAGCTCCCTCCGTCTCCAGCAACAATAAGGTTTCTATCCCATTCAGAATCTCTGCTTTCCCTCTATTGTGCTTGGGGTAAAACCAGTCAGTCAGTCGGAATAGAGCTGGAAGGGACCTTGGAGGTCTTCTAGTCCAGCCCCTGCTCAGGCAGGAGACCCTAGAACATTTCATCCATCCATCCATCAGTCAGAATAGAGCTGGAAGGGACCTTGGAGGTCTTCTAGTCCAGCCCCTGCTGAAGCAGGAGACCCTACATCATTTCACTCCATCCATCCATCCATCAGAATAGAGCTGGAAGAGACCTTGGAGGTCTTGTAGTCCAGCCCCTGCTTAAGCAGGAGACCCTACATCATTTTACTCTATCCATCAGTCAGAATAGAGCTGGAAGGGACCTTGGAGATCTTCTAGTCCAGCCCCTGCTCAAGCAGGAGACCCTAGAACATTTCAATCCGTCCATCCATCAGAATAGAGCTGGAAGGGACCTTGGAGATCTTCTAGTCCAGCCCCTGCTCAAGCAGGAGACCCTAGAACATTTCAATCCGTCCATCCATCAGAATAGAGCTGGAAGGGACCTTGGAGGTCTTCTAGTCCAGCCCCTGCTCAAGCAGGAGACCCTAGAACATTTCAATCCGTCCATCCATCAGAATAGAGCTGGAAGGGACCCTGGAGGTCTTCTAGTCCAGCCCCTGCTCAAGCAGGAGACCCTAGAACATTTCAATCCGTCCATCCATCAGAATAGAGCTGGAAGGGACCTTGGAGGTCTTCTAGTCCAGCCCCTGCTCAAGCAGGAGACCCTAGAACATTTCAATCCGTCCATCCATCAGAATAGAGCTGGAAGGGACCTTGGAGGTCTTCTAGTCCAGCCCCTGCTCAAGCAGGAGACCCTAGAACATTTCAATCCGTCCATCCATCAGAATAGAGCTGGAAGGGACCTTGGAGGTCTTCTAGTCCAGCCCCTGCT